GACTTGGTCCGGTGCTCATTCATCTGATCTTCCATGGTACGGCACATCTTCTCCAGGTTGGCCTGGAGATAGGAAGGGCAGAAAATTGAAAGAGAACCTTGAGAGGGCAATGGAAGAGTTGTTCTTTAATGGCTGGAGACCTATTTCCTACCTTGGCCTTGATCAGCTGTTCCATGTTGGAGCCAACATCATCTAACTCCAGCTTGAGCTCACTCTTCTCCTTCTCCAACTTCTGCTTGACACGCTGTAGGTTGTCAATCTGCTCACTGAGCTCGGCCACGCTGTCAGCGTGCTTCTTGCGCAGCGCAGCAGCCGTGGCCTCATGCTGTAGTGTGGCCTCCTCCAGGTCCCTCCGCATCTTCTGGAATTCTGCCTCCCGCTTCTTGTTGAGCTCAATCTGCACTGACGTGGCACCACCCGCCTCCTCCAGACGCTCACTGATCTCCTCCAACTCCCGTGACAGGTCTGAGCGCAGCTTCTCCACCTTGGCCCTGCCCGTTCGTTCTGCCTCCAGCTCCTCCTCCAGCTCCTCAATCCGTGCCTGTGCTCAGGGGATGGACATGCTGTCAGCAGACTTGGTTTCACCCAGCTCCTCCACTCAATTCAACCAATCCAGCTGGAGAGTCTTTAAGTCAATTCAAGTCAACCCAACCACATGTGGACTCTTCAGCTCAACCCAGACAACTGGAGATCCTTCACTTCAACTAGACTTGATCTCATTCAGTTCTCTTCAACCCAGTCAAGATTCGAGATCTCCAGATCAACCCAACCTTGTCTGAAGACACTCCACCTTCTCAAATTACCTTGAGATTCTTCAACTCACCTGGTCTTGAAGACATTCAGCTCAAACAACTATAGAGCTGCCTGGATCAGACAGCTCCACACAACCTTCTCTAAGGACATTGGAGATAACATGATCCAAAACAGATGGTCTGCTCAGCTCAGATGATCCTACCCAAGGTGCCCCCACTACCTTGAGTACTTCAGACCCACTGGTTCAGCTCAAGCTACCCCAAAGCCAACCTGCCCAGGAGCCCATGAGTCATTTTGAGGTGATAAGTGACAAGGAGGTTCTAGGCCAAGGGACAGGCCATGGGCTTCAGACCTCAGGTTTGTGGCATGCTGGTCCTTCTCAAAAAGGTGTGAAATAAATGAGGAGAACCAGTTCCTCCTCCTAGTTGAACCCCAAGCTGAAGTCTGCCTCACCTGAAGCTCTTTGAGCTTCTTCTGGAGCTGAGCTGCAATTGCTTGCTCATCCTCAATTCTTGCATTGAGTGCGTTGAGCTCAAAGTCCTTCCTGGGTGTGGGGACAAACGCCAGGCAATCATGTTCCTGCCTGCTCAGCAGAGAGGGTCATTATAGGTAAAGCACAAGCAGGTGGGTGGGCCCCTACTTTTTCAGCCTCTCATCCAATTGCTGCTTGTCATTCTCCAGGTCCATAATATTCTCCTGAGCCAGCTTCAAGTCACCTTCCAGCTTCCTTTTGGCGCGTTCCAGGTCCATCCTGATCTTCTTCTCCTGCTCCAGTGAGCTCTCCAGCTGTGAGTGAGGCAGAGATACACCCATCAGCCCCCCACAAACACCAACCCCAGAATGACCTTCACACTCCAAGGCACCAGCTATGTGCCCGTGGCAGGACTGTCCCACACTCACATCATCCACTTGCTGTTCCAGCTTGACTTTGGCCTTCGTCAGGGTGTTGACCTTGTCTTCCTCCGCCTGCAGATCATCCAGCGCTTGCTGATGAGATTCTTGCAGAGCCTTCTTCTCCTTTGTTAGCTTGACAATAATCTCATCCAGCCCGGCCATCTCCTCTGTAAGGTTCTTGACCTGCAGGAAGAGAAATATCAAGCCTCTGGTTTGGTACCAGCGGTAGGACAAGAGACAGGAGGTTGTTCTTGCTCTTGGTTGAGCTGGGGACACAGGAGAACACAACCAGCCTTGGGTTGTCACAACCTGACCAAAGCGGTTTTGGGTCTTCGTTGACCCAACTCAACCACCCTTGAATTTTGGCAGTCTAAACAGCCTTGGGTTTTGGCAACTCAACTCAGCCACCCTTGGGTCTTCTCAAAACGTATTCACTTTGGCTCGAGACATATCAAGTCCCCACAGTTTGAAATCAAGATCTCTCCCCACCCTTACCTTGTTCTCTGTGGCGTGTTTCTCCTTCTCCACCTTGGCCAAAGACAACTCCAGGTCATCAATGTCCTTCTTCAGCTCTGAGCACTCATCCTCCAGCTTCCTCTTCTTAGCCGTCAGCTCAGCATTCATCTCTTCCTCATCCTCCATCCTCTCTGTCATCTCCTTCACCTTGGCCTCCAACTGGATCTTGTTCTTGATTAGCTGGTCACAACGCTCCTCAGCATCAGCGAGGTTGTCTTGCTCCTGGAAGAGGGAAGGTTGGTGGGAGGGTGAAGGAAAAAGGAGGGAGGGGCTGAGGCATCTAGGTCACTTACAGCCTGCACTTGGAGCTGAAGGTCATTCTTCTCCTGCAGCATGGAGACCATCTTTTCCTCCAGCTCCTTCCTCCGGGCCTCTGACTTCTCCAGGGCCTCCTTCAGCCGCCCAAACTCTTCCTTCATGTTCTGCAGGAGGCACGAAGGTCACCTGTAAGTCTCATTGCTTCCTCCGTGTCCCCACACACCCTTCCCTCTCTCCATCCACCCATCCACCTGCTCCACCTATGGCTTTGTCCTACCTGCATCTCCTTCTCAGTCTCAGCACTCTTCAACAAGGGCTTGATCTTGAAGTAGAGCTTCATCCAAGGCCAGTTTTTCACCCCCATGAAAGCCCTGATGTTCCACTGGATCACCAGCAGCGAGTCCCTGGAGAAGGCACAGCAGGATGCAGGTCACCAAGAACTTCAACTCAACCTAGACCCAACACCATTTCAATCTCTACCCACCTCCGCTCCAGGATCTTCTTGAACTCCTGACGGGAGAGGAAACCACGAACTTGGGCCTGCAAGCGGGTCATGATTCTGGCCAAGCGCTCATCCCGCATTTCCTCAAGTAGCCCCAGCAGCCCCGCCTTGAAGAAGACCTACAAGGGGAGATGAAGCTAAGTACTGTTGGGGTCTGGAGGCTTGGTGGAGGAATGGGTGGTAGGGTGGATGGAGTGAGCTCAGATGTGCAGGTGAACAAGTAGATGGTGGGACCATGGACTCAACCTGGTCCCACCGTGGAATCCTTGTGGATAATGGGACCACAGGGAATGGAGACCATGTGACCTCACCTTGGTGTGCCCAAACTTGTATTGGTTGTGGTCGATATCAAGGGATCCCAGGAGCTTCTCAGCACCCTTGCGGCTGTCAATGAACTGCCCCTCAGGGATGGCAGCGGGGTTCAGGATGCGATACCTGGTAGTCAGAGAGGACAGGAAAATCCTGAGATCAGACCCAGTGGAGTTGTCAACCCCCTTCCCATATCTCCTCCTCTCTGCCTACCGCTGGCGGAAGTCCCCATAAAGGATGCGGTTCGGGAAGCCCTTGCGGCAGATGCGGATGCCCTCCAGCACCCCGTTACAGCGGAGCTGGTGCATTACCAGGGGGTTGTTCATCACACCTGGTGGATCACATAACTGATGAGTCAAGGCCTGCCCCACAGCACTGCTCCCCACCACCTTTGGCCAGGGACCACCACTGTTCCCTGGATAAACCCTCATGAATTGGCTCACCAGGAGACTTGGTCTCATTGGGGATGATGCAGCGGACAAAATGAGGGTGGGTAGACCGCAGGTTGGTCATCAACTTGTTGAGGTTCTCCTGGAGGATGGAGGAAGAGATGATGAAGAAAAGGAAGACCCCCCAACCTGTCCCAGCAAGGATCACTACCTGCCCTAGGACATGATTTCAATGCCCAAACACCCTAGGGTCCACCATTAACCCCTGAACTCTTACCCGATGCAGTGCAGAGACAGTCTGAAAGGAGGAACCTTTCTTCTTGGCTCCTTTCCCCTTCTCCACGGCTGTTGGAGAAGAAGTTATGAGATAGGTGATGGACAGGGTGGGGAGAGCCCCAGATGTTCAGGAAGGGGGTGCCCCTTACGTGCATCAGCTCCAGCATAGTTGGCGAAGAGGTTGGCCAAGAGCTTCAGGGCTGATTTCTGGTAGAGCCCCACCACTGTCTCATTGAG